ACCTACTTTTGAGCGCTGTTGCCCTGGTTTTAGGTAAGAGTACATGTATTTCTTATTGTTTGAAATAAAAATGTTTAATAAGAAGTCAAAATGTTATAATTTTATATACCAGAAGAAGAAACTGTGCATGTGCATAATGTTCATATATCGCTTAACCTGCAAGTTATGTATACCTCTCAATCATGCTACACTTTGCACGGACAATTTTTTTGTCTGCTCAGCAGTCGGTCGCAAACACGTTAGGCTCATACTTGTAAGTCATAAAACTAGCCTTATTTTGAGAAGCTACTTTATTTGATGTTAAGTACAGTCAGGTAAATTTATATTTAGTATAGTTTCTCTTTTCCGCTAATACATGTATATATCGGCCTATTATTATCATCTTTAGTAAATGGAAATGCAGATTTGAATCCATTTATATATATAAAAAAACAATGATCATTCAACAATCAAAAGAATTTATTTATTCCTATCGTCCGAAAGATTCTTTTAGATATCAAATCTACTTCAAAAAGTACCATTATTTTCCGACAATTGTGATATGATATAATCATCTGAAAAGCCCGAGGATGGCGGCTTGTGCATATGTATTCCTGAAAGACGATGCTAGTTTCCCCCCATGACTTTGACAATGTAAAGAGTACTCTAAATGTATTATATAATTTTATTATGTACCCATTTTCAAAACAGCGCAAATTGATTATACAGTGCAAATAGATCTTATAAATGTAAGCCTACGTGATTTATTGGTGTTGCTGGTTTGTAAGATTGATATATTGATGACAGATTTCGAAATTAATACGATTCAATGCATATTTATATATATAATTATTACATATATACATACGGATCTTGTTTTATCTTAAAGAAAGAGTCAGTGCAGACTATTGGGACAGTACTACATCGAAGAACGCGATGGCTGAACCTGGCAACACTTACTACGATTCGGTAGGTAAAATTATTTTCCTTAAATCCATTCTAAATGCAGCAAATCATTAATTGTAGTTTATATCAATTGGTGAAATATTGATGAATTTTCAGTCCAAGCATTAGTTCAGACAGGACAGTTATTAAATGACAAAAGATGTACATGCGACTACAATTTAAAGTAATATCAGTCGTTTTCAAAATTCACAGTTTAATAATAAAATGAAATTCCAAATATACACAGAGGGTAGTTAACATACTGAGCAATCTTATTTCTGTTGTTTTTTGTTTTTTTTGTAAACACTTATTAAAAGCTCCATGATAATGAAAATGACTGATGTAACGGGCAACAATCTTAACATTGCCGATATACAGAGGGAACTGTTTTGATATTTTGACACTGATAAATTAGTTAAGTAGAAAATATGCAATTTCTGTCAACTATCAAAACAAGAGCTCAGTAAGGGTGGAAGGATAGAACAGTTTAGCCCAAAGAGACCAAAATTAACTTTGACCAAGGAAGAGATTTATTCATATAACTTATTTGAAACATATGCTGTGGGAAATGTAGTTTAGAAGAAAATTTTAAGACATGTTTCCTTTATTTCCTTAAAGACTGCAATAAAGCACTTTACCCATTTCATATTATTTCATTATGGTACCAAATCATATTAATTGAACAGGCATGTGACACCAAAGACTGTATGTTAGATCCCAGACATTGCAACTTTAAATACTTTTTACTATTTTAAAGTAATTCTAATGCGTACTGTTATGCTGCAAGGTGTGCTCTCATAAAAAAGTTGGGAAAAAATAGAAAACGAGAGTGCCTGCCTCATTAATTTCACTTTGCTTTGGGCTTACTCATAACAAAAACGCAGTATTTAATTGTTGTTGTTATTTTCTTTAGACAAGAAGACAAATATTGAACCCTCTAGCCTTTGCCAATTCAAAGAATTTTTTAAAAGTTTTTACTATATACATAATAGGACAAGAGGGCCATGATGGCCCTTATATCGCTCATCTGATTATTGAGGCTCTGAATTAATATTATTGGCAGATATAATGCCATCAACTTAAACAGACAACATTCATATTTGCAATCCTGAAATATATAATGTTTTTAATCCATGGATAAAGCTGTTTTGAAATTATGAAAACATTTAATTTACATGACAATGCCTTTTCTTTAATACATAAAACTGCTGTTTACATGATGAAACTTTTTAGCCAGATTTGCTAAAAAAAGTAGCTTTAGTGCACAAATCTTAAAATTTGGATGTCCTTTCAAATTAATATGTAAGGGTTTAACAAAAAAAAGTATTTCTGAATGTTATATTTATCTCTATAGATGTATAGCACTGGGTGTATGAAAGCCATCTTTATACCATTGGTGGTCGCCTGCCTTATGGCTATTCGTCTAAGCCGCCAATAAAATGCAGACAAAGGTAAATGCTTACATATATTGTTACAGCACAGTTATCTGAATTGTATCAGTTCTATTTCCATACTAGTACAAAAGTAATTTCCTTGTTTGTAAAATAAATTTAAAATAGTACCTTATAGGATCTCCATTATGGTTATAAAGCCGAAGGACATAATTGGAATTTTTTTACAAAGATCAAATGAAAAATCTATGAATGATATTTTTAAAAGAAATGTACTAAAAATGTAATTGAAAATCAAGTTTAAGCCTGATTTGAGGAAATATTGTTACAAGGCTTTTTATTTTGGAGCCATTTTGCACAATAAAAATGACTATTCTGGAAAACCTGGATGAGGGAATGATCACAAGTTATTTGTCCAGACTATCATCAAATAGTACACAAATCATGGAAAAATATTTCCAGTCCCGTCATGTCAAAAAATCTCAATGGAGTTCCTTTAAGCTTAATTCAAGATTTAAATATTATAGTTCTTCAACCAGCAATTGTAATATTTAGCTCACTGGAGCTTGCTCAGGGTGAGCTTTTAGGATCGTTGAATGTCCGTCTGTCGACATTTGTTTGTTAACACTCCAGTATTCAATGAGAATTCCTATCTATAAAGTTTCCTGATGATATCTCTTATAGTTTCAGAGTTATGTCCCGGGTAAAATTCAAAGTGTAAAAATGAACAAAGGGCAATAACTTCAAAATTAGACAAGGCTTTGTTTAGGTTCTTTAAGCATTGCAGTTCTATCCAATGATATCTATCTACCTACAAAGTTTCATGTTGATATCTTTAATAGTTTTAGAGTTATGTCCCGGACAAAAGTAAAATAGTAAAAATAAACAAAGTGCAATAACTTCAAAATAAGGCAAGACAGAGTTACGGTTCTTGTGCACTGCAAACCTACTCAATGAGATCTATCTATCTGCAAAGTTTCATGTTGATAACTCTTATAGTTTTAGAGTTATGTCCCAGACAAAGTTCAAAGTGTACAAATAAACAAAGGGCAATCATTCAAGTATTAGGCAAGGCAGAGTTACAGATTTTGTGCACTGCACACTTAGTCAATGATATCTATCTACCTACAAAGTTTCATGTTGATACCTCTTATAGTTTTAGAGTTATGTTCGGACAAAGTTCAAAGTGTAAAAATAAACAAAGGGGAATAATTGAAAAATTAGGCAAGGCAGAGTTATGGTTCTTGTGCACTGCACAACTTCTCAATGAGATCTTTCTACCTACAAAGTTTCATGTTGATACCTTTTATAGATTTAGAGATATGTCCCGGACAAAGTTCAAAGTGTAAAAATAAACAAAGGAGAATAATTAAAAAATTAGGCAAGGCAGAGTTACGGTTCTTGTGCACTGCAAACCTACTCAATGAGATCTATCTTTCTACAAAGTTTCATGTTGATACCTCTTATAGTTTTAGAGTTATGTTCCGGACAAAGTTCAAAGTGTAAAAATAAACAAAGGGCAATAATTCAAAAATAAGGCAAGGCAGAGTTACAGCTCTTGTGCACTGCACACCTTCTCAATGAGATCTATCTACCTACAAAGTTTCATGTTGATACCTCTTGTTGTTTCAAAGTTATGTCCCGGACAAGAAAAGTGGACGGACGGACGGCCGGCAGTAATTATGTGGCTACTCTATTGTTCTTTTTAGCCACACAAAACAAAATAGTCACATAAAAGCATTACGGAATGAATGACATCAAAGAGAAAGAACAGTAACCTATTGTCCCTCTAGCCACATAATTACTGTCCTGTGAGTGCGGACAGATGGACGGACAAGGCGGTGACTATATGCTCCCCCGAAATTTTTTGGGGAGCATAAAAAACTAGGTCACAAGAGCTAAAAATAGAAAAATCTTGTTAACACTTAAGTGGCTACTGTTTTGATCCAAATATCCTGGAAATTGGTCTGACAGTTTGTTTTGATGATTTCTAGATAAAGTTGAAATATGGGTCACGTTGGGTAAAAAATTAGGTCACACTGCCCAAATATGAAAAAAAGCTTGTTAACACTCTAGTGGTCACATTTTTGCCTCAATCATCATCAAATTTTGTCAGGATGCTTGCCGAAGTAATTGCTCTGACGAGTTCGATTGGTCAGGTGAGCAATCTAGGGCCATCTTGGCCCTCTAGTTTCTTATTAGACTTGGTTACTCAGAATTTCTCATACACTTCTTTTGCCAATTACATTTGAGATTCAAATACATTTGTTTATTTACAGGTCAAGCAGAGGGAAACAATGTGACATACAACATAATTATGCTTCATCATATATTACATTTGTGTATTCAGAATATCTTCAGCTTGTTGTTATTGTTACTTTATTTTGTTTCATTGTATTTATTCTTCATTTACTATAAATACATCATTATCACATTGTATTGTTCATATTTTTTTAAACAATTTTCTTTCAATAAGTGTTGACATATACTATCTTTGGGACTTTGAAACGGTATATAATTCGTAATGGATATATTTTGATGCTGGTTATTAAAGTTAAATGTTGTAGATATGTTCTAACAGACTGATTTATTATGTGTTGGATGTCTAAAAAAAGAAGCATTCCATTATGAAAACAGGACAGTGATTTTTCAGATCTCTATCCATATCTAATACCAAACTCCAGATTAACAACATTTTTTTTTAATCCAGTATAAAACAAAGTGTGACAACAAATTTCATGTAACAATTACCTTTCTATTCAGACAAAAAATAATGTTAATATGTAGTACTGTAAATGCCTACTTTGCATAATAAATATAATTGCTCCTACTTAAATCTTATCTTATATTTCATTTGAAGCTGATATAAACTCCAGGCTGTATTTTATAATGCCTTTAATCATAGTGGTTAAACTATTTCATTACATACAGTATATGACAATGTATACTTAAATGGTTACTCTCACGAGATACTAGAACAAAATCATAGCCTTTCAAACATTTATATAGGAATTTGATATCATGAAATGGATATAGATTTAAATTCTTTTGTCATCTAACAGAAGAAATAACAAGATGGCCATAATGGCCCTGAGACGCTCACCAGAAACAATTGCTTTTCAGTGTTGGAAATTATCCATTGTCAATATTTTCTAATATTAAATTTAAGCATAGAATATGTTTAAACAATAATTTGAAGAAATGCCATGGCCTGTGGCATTTAAGCTTTAGCTTAAACGGAGCCAATCAAATTAATATGAGCAAACTTGATAAAAGACTACCTAAGAATGCTACAAAGTTTGGTGATCATCCATCAATTAGTTCTATAGAAATAGACGTTTAAAGGTATTTCTATTTTAAGCTTAAGCAGCCCCTAAAAGGCGCCAATCAAATTAATATGAGCAAACTTGATAGAAGACTACCCAAAAATGCTACAGACAAAGTTTGGTGATCATCCATCCATTAGTTCTGTAGAAATAGACGTTTTAAGGTATTACTATTTTTAGCTTTAGCGGCCCCTAAAAGAGGCCAATCAAATTAATATGAGCAAACTTGATAAAAGACTACACAAGAATGCTACAGACAAAGTTTGGTGATCATCCATCAATTAGTTCTGTAGAAGAAGATGTTTAAAGGTTTTTCTATTTTTAGCCCTAGAGACCCCTAAAAGGGGCCAATCACTTTAATATGAGCAAACTTGATTAAAGACTACCAAAGAAAAATACAGACAAAGTTTGGTGATCATCCATCAATTAGTTCTGTAGTAGAAGATGTTTAAAGGTTTTTCTATTTTTAGCTCTGTTGACTTCTAAAAGGGGTAAATTGAAATGACATGAGCAAATTCAAGTTTGACTGTCACAAGGATGCTACAGACCAAATTTGAATTTAATCTGCCCAGCAGTTTTAGAGAAGAAGACGATTGTTGACGCATGATGACGGACGCCAGAGCATCCCCCTTTGATACTAACAGCTTTGCCTGAACCTTCGGTTCTGGTGAGCTAAAAAGATGGTAATCAAATCTAAACAATCAAAGTTGTCAAAGTATTTAGATTTTGTTGCATACCCTACTGCTGAAACTCTTCCGTTAAATTATTCGACAGCAGCTTTAACAGGGTGTATTGTAACAACTTTAGAAGGACTTAATAACACTAGTCGAAAAATTAAAGTCAATGGTATAAGGTCCACCAAATTTTCTTTTATCAAGCAAAATTATCATGAAGTATATTAAACAGAGATTATGATTTCTCATTCCAATGCACAAACACAAAAACTGTACATAACCTTCAAACATTTTATCAAATGTTTGCACCTGCCCACAATTTTTCATTCAACTTCCTTACATATAATCCCACAATATATGCTTTAACTGGTTCAAAAACTAGACCAAATACTCCGACTGCCAGCAGGAAATAGCACATCCACTCCTGTAACTCTGTTGTAGTAAACTGTCCTCCTACAATAGTTATGTACACAACAATGAATATCTGCAACAACATCATCAAACTGACAGTGATCACTTTCACCCATGATCCAAGTGGTTTCCTGTTTTCACCAGTACAGTCATATTCAAGCTGATATAGTCCAGACTTAGTTAATGTTTCACTATCATCCCCCTCATCTGTCATAAAGTAAGAATCTATGATATTGTTAATCTGCACAGAATGTAGATAGTCCCGCTTGCTCTTCGCTCTGTCAATATAACCCATCTGTGTCACCATCTTTCTCAAAACCTCTCCATGTTTTATATACTCCAAATATCCTTTCAATGGTTTCAGATCTAGAATAAAAAAATAAATAAAAAGATATCAACTGAAACATAACACAGCTAAATTAAAGCATTTCATACATCAAAGTGCCTGCTAATTTTTATAAAAATTAGGAAAGTGTTAAAAAAATTCTAAAACTGTTGTCAAGTTAACAAATAAAGTACATTTTTGTAATTTGAACTGGCCTAAGGCACTTGTAAATCTCAAAATTATATGCCAGTGTTTTTTTTTTTTTAAGTTACTTAGCCTTTTGATATTGGGAAAAAATATCGCGAAGATTGCTAATTTAGGAAATAAAAAAGCAGGTGTAAGATTTTTGGGAAATTTGCTTGATTAAAGGAAAATTACAATTGGGAAGAGACCTTTTATAGGCCTCTATTATATAAGGTGAAAAATCACTGTATAATGCATGTAGGGCCATTCAAAGTAAGCAGAGGTGATATGTCAGGTTGGTGTGCTAGGGTGCATGAGCCCCTAGCTAAGTGTGACCTTGACCTGAGAATGGTCAAACCTATGCTCTGCTCATTGTCTCATTATGGTGTACATTTCTAAAGTAGTTTGAATTTCCTTCTACCTGAGTTCAAACGATACAGACCAAACACAAAAACTCCTCTATAAGTCTATATAAATCAATAAATCCCCGCGGTAGGGCCAATTTTAATTGTAGAAAGTCTAAACTTCTTGTCTGCACCACAGTCTCAACATACGTAATATTTCTGCCAAAAAGTTTTAATTTCCTTTGATCTGTTCAAAAAATACAGAGTGGACAAAAAATTTTGATATTAAAGCAAATCTAGAACTATCACTAAATGAGCCACGTCACGACAAAACCAACATAATGGGTTTGCGACCAGCATGGATCCAGACCAGCCTGCGCATCGACACAGTCTGATCAGGATCCATGCTGTTCGCTTACCAACCCTATTACAAGTAGAGAAACTGATAGCGAACAGCATGGATCCTGATCAGACTGCGCGGATGCGCAGGCTGGTCTGGATCCATACTGGTCGCAAACCCATTATTTTGGTTTTGTCGTGATGCGGCTCAAATGTGATTAATACCCCCGCAAGACTGCTTCGGAAATGAAGAAGTTACTAGTAACAGAATACCTTGCAAAAGGATTGAAATAGAGTTATGGTTGTGGGCAATTAAAGCTAGTTGTGGTTCTTGTTGTATGTTGCATTCCCTTCCAATAAAATTGACCATTGATGAAGTTTTATTGAATTACTCTGTAGTAAGTCCAGAAAGAGTTACGCTTCTTGAGCACTGCACTTCCTCTCATTGCGCTTGACCATATTGTATGAAGTTATATTGAATTCCAACTAGTAGTTTTCAAGTAATGCTCTGGACAAGGAAAATTAACAAAGGGCAATAAGTCTGTAATTAGTGAAGATGGAGTTATGGTTCTTGTGCACTGCACTTCCTCTTAATGTGCTTGATGCTTGTATGAAGTTGTATTGAATTCAAACAAGTAGTTTTCAAGTAATGCTCCGGACATGAAAAAATATTAAAGGGCAATAACTCTGTAATTAGAAAAGATGGAGTTATGGTTCTTAAGCACTGCACTTCCTGTCAATTTGCTTGATCATTGTATGAAGTTGTATTGAATTCCAACAATTAGTCTTCAAGTTATGCTCAGGACAATAAAAAGCAAATGAAAAAGTAACAAAGGGCAATAACTCTGTAATTACTTTAGATAGAGTTATGGTTCTTGTGCACTGCACTTCCTCTAATTGTGCTTGCATTGTATTAAGTTGTTTTAATTTTCCAACCAGTACTTTTCAAGTTATACTCAGGACAAGGAAAAGTAACAAAGGGCAATAACTCTGTAATTACTCAAGCGGAACGTGCCCATGATGTGCACAACTAGGGATGTTACTGATCACCCCTGTAAAGTTTGGTTGAAATCCCACCAGTAGTTTGACCTGTGAATGCCATACAAGAATTTTCTATTTTTAGCTCTGGTGGCAATTTTTTGCAGCGAAGCGGAACGTGCCGGTGATGTGCAAAACTAGGGATGGTACTGATCACTCCTGTAAAGTTTGGTTGATATCCAATCAGTAGTTTGACCTGTGAAGGGTAGACAAGCTTAACGCGGACAGATAGGCCACTTAAATGGACTAAAGGGCCATTTCTTTTGTTATTTTCTTTTGTTTAATAGAGGGCCATAGCCCCTTATTCTATTGCAGTCTGTGCGAAAGTCCGTCGGTCCTCAGTCCTGGCTGAATAAAAATCATGCAGTTCGAGATAAATTTCCTTTCCGTCAGTCCTCATGTCCGAATAAAATTTCAAAAAGTTAAAAATATCAATGACCTGATTGATAACAAGTTCCCCTTGATGCAAAGAATTTATTAAAGAAGATATTGACCAACCTTAACTCTATTTTGTACATGTCAAATAAATACCAGTCAACTCTGTCTTCAACAACAGTAAATTTTGCCATAAATTACAAATTTGAAAATTTTGTTTTACGATGTCTGTTGAAATAGCCGATGAGTAACAATCTTAAAATAATAAAAAAATATCGAGGGGTGAAAGCGAAAAGGTTCTAAGTGCATTTTCCAAAATTTTACAGGAGAAGCAAAAAACTGTCTCAAATGTTTGTAAAATAGCAAAATTCCACAACACTTTGATTTTACACATAATAAAGTTAAAGAAACCTGTCAATGATAATAAAAATTCTAGGAAAGACTTGGCAAACAAGATATTTAATCAAATGTAACTTAGAACTGTTTCACACTTAAAATTTCTCATATTTTGATTTTTATGTTCAAAGCGAAAAGGTTCCAAGTGACATTTTGATAGAACAAAAGCATGTTTTCTTTCTTATTTAATGAAAGATAGAGCAACATTTTGGCATTTCTAATTTTTTAGTAAGAGATCGAGTATAAATTGCCAGATAGGACTGTTTCGCACTTACTTTTTATTTTGATTTCATATTTTAGGTGTGAGACATTCGCTTACTGGACAACTTTCAAGTTCATGAAATTTTAAGTTTGACTGTGTTTAAATTAGAAACATAAATAAAGGTCATAATTGATAGTGTACAAAACTTTTAAAGAACATGATGGACATTAATTACATGTGTACACCTGAAAAACAAAAAACAAATGCCAATTAATTTGATAATCATTTTTAGCTGAACTATACTAAGTACATGGAGAGCTGTCCTCCTTGCCATGGTGTCCGCGTCCAGATTTCAGATTAAAGTTTTGGTGCAGTAAAATACTTAAGGTATCAGCTTCAAACTTCAGTTATATGTCATTGGCCTTGGTGGTCAATTCCTATGCATCAAAACTCCAAACCGGTGTTAAATAGCCAATAAACACCGGTAAGATCGATTTCTTGATAATTACGTGTTGTATGACATGGTACATAACTCTAGCGTTACTACCTCCAGAATTATTCCCCCGTTAAATTTGAATTTATGTTAACAAATATTATTTTTTTACTACAACTTCTTGTCGTATGGATAAGAGTTATAAAATGCAAGCTCCTGTATTCCCAGAATTAATTAATTATCCCCATTTAATTTTTGAAATTCATTTGTAAATTGATTTTTAAGTATTATCTTTATTGTTATAAATGGTATCTGCTCTAGACTTAAGATAAATGATGGTTCTTTGTCATTAGTCACATCATGCATGACAAGGTTCATAACTTTAGCTTCTTTTTTCAAGAGTTGTTTCCAATTTGAACTTATAACTTACTTTAAATTCTTTTTGCTTTTATCATTTTTGTTTTGAAGGGATTGACTTCAGTCTTTCCATTAAAGTAACATTAATGTTATTGACAAGATCATTATGTTGTGCAAAATATAGAACATTTGAATGCTTTCTTGATACTGATACAAAACTATATTTATATCATAATTGATTTTTCTTTCATAGTTTCATCTTCCTTACTGCATCCAGTATTTGAAGAGTCAAGCTCCGCTGTCTCAGTGTCTCCTGTGACAGCTCTTGTTTTCTTGCATTTCCTGTGATATTCTTTAATATTCAAAATAAAACAGTTATATTCATATTCTTTCATAATCATATTTAAAATGGTTACCTTCAATAAGATCATGGAAATTAATGTCATTTCACCCACAACTATTTTCTAACAATAGTTTATGTATTTATTTTTAAACAATATGATTATAAGCGGCTTAATGCGGTCATCCTTAGCCCATAGGTCCATTCTAAAATGCGCCAAAATGACACTTTTTTTTTATGCTGTTCATAAATAAAATACGCTTAAATGACGCAACTTATCTGGCATCACCATAGTATATGAGTCTGATTCTGATTCAGATCGGGGAAAATCCGATTCAGCCAGTAAATATGATTTTATAATTTGTTCTGATTACCACTGTTTGAACCAATGAGATTACAGCTATTTTGAAATCATAATAATAGTGAACAATATTCTCTGAAAAACTTTTTGGACTTGTCTGAAACTTCATTCAAAGTGCAAGAATATCTTTGCAATAAACAGTTTCACAAAAAGTCCCAGAATATATTTGAACTGAAAATATATTTTACAAATTGTGCACACTTGAGACACCCCCATGTAGCAACAATGCATAGAAGAGATGATATGTCTCAAGGCCAAGTCCCAAAGGCCACCTTCATTAGCATAAGTGTGACCCATAACTATACTTTATTTAAGATCCTTTATATACATCAAAGTCACCCATAGCTCCACCTACATTAAAATTTTTCAATATCTCAGAGGCATACATAGCTCCACTTTCATTCACGTTACTTAATATTTCAGTGTCACACAAAGCACCTGCTATATTTACACAACTCAGTTTCTTGGACTCACACATAGCTCCAAGTTCATTTGCAATGCCCAATATATCAAAGTCACAATATCTTGTAATTTTGTCTATAACCTTTCCTACCTTATCATAACCAGATTTCTGATTATCATCAAAAAATCGCTTTTAACCATTCTAAATATCTCACTATCACCTGTAGTCTCACTTTCAAGAACATCACCTGATATCTTATTGTCATCTAAA